CCGTTTCAGTACATCATAATTCAACTACCTTCAAATACTTGTAGTCATACTTAGTTCAGAACAAATTTGCAAGTTATGCTAACAAACCACCAAATTCAAGATAGATCATTCCTTGTATTCACTCCAAAGCAGAACACACAGAATTAAATGTATTTAACATATTAATGTTTTTGTCAAACTATTTCCATCATGAATATAGCATATAGAAATTTAATTAATGAAGAGAATTTTCAAATATCTTTAATACTAAAAACAACTAATTAACTTTGGGTTGAAGCAGACAGACCGGAGGCTGGGACCACGGCAACCAAATGGTCTAATCCCAAAGTGGGCCGCCACTGCAGTCACAAACTGCCAGCCATAGATTACATCTATTCCTTAAAAGGGCAGGCACTTTCCAACTTGGTGCAGCCCCAGCATGGCTTCCGGCAGCTTTGGGGGCATGTATCATCTAAATGCCACACCCCCAAAGTGTCTGAAAAACACTTTATTTTAACAACTGAAGTTAAAACTACTGAGTATTCAAATGTAGTGCTGGACAAAGCCATCTGCATGGGAGTGAAAGGCTAAAGCAATATTGGAAAGAAAGGCAAGTATTGCACTGCCCAAAGCTACCTTTTAGAAAAAGAGACAGAAAAAAAATTTGAAAATGGGCAATCAAAATGCGGCAGGACCCCAATTTGACAAAGTATGTCAAGCCCGTGGAGCAGTGGAGATGAAATACAAGGATAATTTACTAGGTAAAACACACACTGGATTTTCGCCCCTCATGTTATGTAAGTTTCTGTATTTATACATTTTTATTTATTTTATTTATATGCCACATTTCACCTGGAAAGGGAATCAAGGCAGCTTTTAACTGATAAAATCAATTAAAAACATTACATTTTAAAAAACACACAATTAAAATCAACTTGCTAAAGCAATATAAAATTATATTAAACACAGAAAAGGCAAATGACACAGAAAAGGCAAATGACACAGAAAAGGCAAATGACCACAAATAGAATACACACAGTGTATAAAATCCTCCCTGATAAAGATTATATATTAAAAGCCTGCTTGAATAAAAATGTCTTTGCCTACTGGCAAAAGGAAAGCAGGGAGGACTCCAGCCTAAGTGTAACCTTTCTCTGTAATGAGGTAAAAATGCTCTGTAATGAAATGTAATCTATGAATTGTGAGTATGAAGAAACAAAGACCTGAAACACAGGCCAAAAGCACTGACTTTGGGCTAATTCAGAGGCGTGGCATACAGATGACGCATGCCCCTGGACTGAGCCAAAGTTGTTCTGTGGCCGCCTAAGGAGGCCCAGGGCACAGTCCCATGTCAACCAGGGAGTGACTGGGATTGGAGGGGCCAGAGGCTGCTCCAACTTTCTGGTCTGCTTGACCTCAATGAGACCACTGAAATCACAACAATCCAGTTTCTATACAAGTCCCATCATAAAACAGTATCTACTAGGACAATAATTAGCATTCTTAATTGTAGGTCTAAATCACTTCTTTACAGTGTATGGCTATGTTCCATGAGATATGGAACACTTCAAAATACATTCACAAACTGTGTTCTGATTAGACTCTTTCAATTTCTAAATCAACACTTACTGTACTGACTCTGGAGTTCCAGTTAACATGCAAGATCTTTCAGGCAGCCCACCACTATCTATAAAATGGAAACAGAATGGAATGAATACTAGTGATCACAAAAGAAAGTAATTTGCAGTTATAGAATAAGATTTAATCACTTATTCTAAAGAAACACTAAAACTACTTATAAGTCATCAAAACTGTAACCCAATACTGGACTCCCCCCATTGCCTTGTTAACTTATACTCCATATACTTAAGACCACTGACAACAGTAATTTCCAATAATAATTACTAGTAGTCTATACTTGAAACTAACAGTACAACAAATGAAGTAATTACCAGGCGCAATCTGTATTTTGCATCCAGATTCTTGCTGTATGCGAGATATTTGCTCTCCTCCTCTGCCAATTACTTAAGAAATGAACAAAAACACCTAGTTATTGCACTAATAATATTGCCTACAGTGTTTTTAAAATTATATTGTTATAAAATTTATACTACTTACTGAATCCAACCATTCCATCAGGAACTTTGTATTCTTCTGTCATTACAGACCTGGAAAAGTGACAAAAACATTTGTACCTAGCTTGGAATCCAGGTATCTGTATCTCTAATGAGTAATACTGTATTCCAAACTTCCCATTAAGCTAAAGTCTAATGTTTTTCACGGCTGCAAGTTTGTTAGATTGAAAAACTTTGAATATTAACTTTTATTAATACATCTATCTGTAGCAGTTTATTTACAGTGCCAAAAGGTAGAATAAAAATGCTTCAAATATTATCCGAAGGTATTCAAAATGGAAGACCCTTGCACATATTACTACAAGAAACTGAATTACTATAAGTAATCTGTATGCATTTATAGAAGTTTACAATGACCTTTTCTGGCTTTAAATTTAAAAATACAACACACAAAGAAGCCCCAATATATGGTAAGAATATATTCAGAGAAGAAAGCTTTCAACCAGATGGGAATAAAACCTCATTTTTCTTGCTCTTAAATATAGCATTATTTGTCAAAGGGTGTAAAATTACAATACATTTTTATCAACCAACTTCATGACTGCAACAGTAATAGCATAGCTCAAAGTGGCACATTCCAAATTTGAAAAAGCTAGCAAAGGTAACCAACACTTTATTCTTTCACACCAACTCATGTAAGCAGCCTGAGATGTTACTGGTGCAGTGCAGAAGACAACAGTGTTTTTTTCGGCATCCTGCTAAACAAACTGGCATCTTGATTTTAAGTACAATCTGCCCTCCATATCTGCCGACTTGGCACCCATGGATTTGAGCACTCGTGGATGGCAAGTCCACGTGGGGGGGGGGGCAGTGGAAGAAGAGGTGGGGAAGATGAGGAGGAGGCAAGAGGCGATGGCATCAGGGGCAAGGAGGAGGATAGGGAGGAGGCAGAAGCAGGAAGAGAACGATGCAAGAGACAGCAGTAGCGGGGGTGAACAGGAGGATGAGTAAGGAGATGGTGGGGGGAAGTGGAGGCAGCCCATTGCATCCTCTTCCTTTTCCTGCCGCTGGGCAGGGCAATATGCTCCCCAACCACTGACTCCGCCACCCCTTGCCATATTCTTCTGGGGTGTCTTCTCTGGCCTGGGCTCCCCTCAGCAACAGTGTCACTAAACTCCCGGCAAAGCCACCCCCTCTGCCACTGCCTCCTCCTCTCCTTTCTGGTGCTGGTGCTAGTGGTAGCAGCAGCAGCAACAGCAACAGCATGGTGTGTGGCTTGGGCAGCGCTGATCTCCTGGTGGTGGTGCAGCAGTGGCCAGGGCTGCAGGGCCAACTGGCCACTCTCCTCCTCCTCTTCTTCCATCCTTCCTCCCCAGGCACTGGCACCCAACCTCCGCCTCTGTTGCCTTTTCCTCCTGCCCCAGGGCTGCTAAGGGCTCCCGCCACCAGGCAAAGCAAAAGCAGCTTCATTTATATACTGCTTCATACAGCGCTATGCAGTGTCTAAGCAGTTTACAACTATAAGTTCATTGCCCCGAAAAAGCTGGGTATTCATTTTAGCAACCTCATGCTTCGCCACCCCTCACATGGACACAGGTCCAGGGGAGGTGAGGCTGCCCCAGCCAGACCAGTGTCAGCACCATCCCCAGTTGGCCAGGCTCCTCCAATGTCAAAGGAAGCCTTCAGACCCCTCCTTCCTTCCTGGGACTGTGGGCAATCAGACGGGCGAGTTGGCCAGCAACAGAGGTGGCAGCTGCAGGGGTGTGAGCCTCTTTCTCCTCATCTGGTCTCTCAGTAAGAGCAGTGGGGAGGCTGGGAGGGGGGCTGGGGGGCAATGTCCGCAATGGTGGTTTGGCCACATGGCTGCGCCACCATTGAGGACAATGGGACTGGAGCATCCGTGGATTTTGGTATCCATGTAGGGATCTAAGGGCCCACTGTATATCTGAGGAGCAATAAGATTTGGTCAGATTATCCATCAGATTAATAGAGAACACTGTTCAGGTGAGGAATAATAAAAGAACCACAACTGCTAACAATGCAAAATTTTATTTTCTTCCAAAAATAACATGAACACTTTCAGAAAAGTGCATGCACTTAAGTGCTTTACATTTATATAATATCTCATAACTGAGCAATCATGCAAGAATTCATAAATTGCCAAGAGAAGCCAAAAGGGAACTGTTAGTTTTTATAAGAAACAGGTAAGAAGAAAATCCTACCTCTGTTGTTGATGCATGGGCGGTAACTGGTTTCCAAAAGCTAAAATGAAAGATTACATATTAAAATGTAGCTAATAAAAATAAGTATTACTGACTTTAGAAATGTATCTCAGCTTAGATGTTTTACTATTTCTGAAGAAAAGGTTACGTTTGCTTTCGAGACCAGTTTAAAGTGCAATCTTCAGCCCTTGAAGCTTTAAATCAAGGTAAACCACTAGTCTGAAGTATCCTCACTTCCCAGAAAGGGACACTGAGGTGCTCTGACTAGCCCCCTGAACTCTCTTGTCCTTCTCTCAATAGCAATGGTACCAATGGAAGCTTTTTTGCTGTACTTAAGGGAAAAGTGTTTACTACTTTTGCTCGAAGTGTCATAGGCCCGAAGCAGACAGGCCAAAAGCGCCTGCTTCAAGCTGTGTTGGAGGCATGGTGTTTAGATGACTCACGCCACCAACATGGCTGGAAGCCAGGCGCAGAGCGCGTCAACCCAGAAAAACCAGCACAAAAAACAGTAAAAAGTCATTCATGCCGGCAGCCAGGTTGAGGACTGTGGTGGTGGCCTGCTTCAGAAGTAGACCCATGTGGTTGCCACAGTCCTGGTGCAATCAGGGAACTGTTAGTTTTTACATGAAACATTCTGCCCCGTCTGCACGATCCCATATTTGTCTTAGGCTGTTTGTGAGGGAAGCATCATATAAACATAAACCTACAAGGACCTTAAGACACAGCCTGCATGGTGCAGTGATTTGAGTGCTGGACTATGACTCTGGAGACCAGGGTACAAATCCCTGCTTGGGAATGGAAACTCATTGTACTACCTTAGCCAAGTCACATTCTCCCAGTCTCAGAGGGAGACAAAGGCAATCTCCCTCTCAGTAAATCTTGCCAAGAAACCCCTATGATAGGTTTACCAATAGTCAGAAATGACTTGAAGGCACACAACAAAGGGTCATAAGATCTTGTGAAATGACAAGGAGCAACTCCTCCTGAGGTTCCTTCTCTGCTGTCTTTCAGATGGAAAATTATGTTATTTAAATAAAGTATCCCTTACCCAAAATGCTTGAAACCAGAGGTGTTTTGGATTTTGGAATATTTGTATATGCATGAGTTATCTTGGAGAAGAGGCCCAAGTCTAAACATACAATTCATTTATCCTCCATATATACCATACATAACATGAAGGTAATTTTATACAATTTTTTAAAATACGTATTTTTAAAATTATCAGATTCCTCCCCCCCACCATAGCAAGGGATCACTGTTTCTCACAATTGAAAGGCTAGCAATAAAAACCTGGTATTTGGATCACTAAACTCAACAGTATTAGCAGCACCAATCATTATACCACTTGGGGTGATGCAATAGAATTAGGTATTTCAAATCATTAAAAATGCAATCCTCTACTTATCAACTGAGCAGTAAGCCCCGCTGAACTCAACATTTCTTCTACCTGAGAAGATAACCACAGGACTGCACAGACAGTAATTCTATTGTTGAAAACATGAGCATCATTCAAGTTTCATTATTTTGTTTCAAGAATTAACTGCTTCAGATGTTAAACTTTAATTTTGATTTTCATGGACTTGAGAAAACTGAAGATGTGATGAACTGAAACATGTTTCTGAATAACTGTATGTAAAATCAGTCCTTAGTATCTGCAGAAGGTTCCAACCCAGACCCCACCCCCCACAGGTGCCAAAAACTGTGGAACCTCAAGTCCTATGGTTTTACTGGCTGTTTTATGGATATATAATTGTCAGACTGCACTGCTCGACCAAACTCACAATTAAAACTATGGGATGGAACCAATGAAACATAAACAAAAGGAAAAAGTAGTCTACAACAGTTAGCATATTTGTAAAAGCAGAAAAATATTTGATTTAATATTACAGGTACTTTTCCCAACAGAACCTTAGAATGAAGTATAACACAGAGATAGTATATACGAAGCAAATAAAACAGTCCTTTTATAAGAAACAGTTCTTCTTACAGAATTTCCTTTTGAATTCTGAATTTTACATACAGAATTTCTCTAAGACCATATGAAACTTTTCAGGGAGAGGCGGCCATTTTTTCCATATGGGAATAATTTGCTCCTTCAGCTTCATACCTTCATAGTTCTACCTGTAAGAAAAATCTCCCTAGCGAGAATGGTATCTAAGAGTTTTATGCTGCAGTTGCATACTGCTGTCAAGCTCTCAAGTAATAACATAGAACCTTGCAGCTTATAGTCGCCCCTCTGTTTTTGCAGACTTGGGAATCTGCATTCCTCACCCGTTCCCGGGCGGCAAATGGAGGGGGAAAATGGGGGGGGGGGGGCACCTGACACTATTCAAGGCAATGGGGCTTGAATATTAGTGATGTTTCTGTTTTCATGGTGGTGGTGATGGTGGTGGATCCAGAACAGATTCCCCGTGAAAACAGAGGTGGTTGTAGTGAATTTAATATTGGGGGGAGTGAGGGAGAGAAGAACAGAATTACAATGAAAAAGCTGCCTGTTAGAGTTCTGCTAATTAATTTCAACACACTGTTTACCAAAATAATTCGAGCATGAAGACCCAATTTTTTAAAAACTAAATTACAATAAAACTACGATATATACTTGACCAGGGGTCGGCAAGGTTTTCTTACCTGGGGCTGGTCCACTGGCCTCCAGGTCTTCTGCGGGGAATGGCGCCCCTGCCGCCATTTTGTTTTCCAAAATGGTGGCCGTGACTCATTCACGCATGCACAAACGAGTTGCGGCTGCCACCTTGGGAAACAAAATGGCGGCTGCAACGAGTGCGGGGGCCGTCCCAAAGGCCTCAGGGTGCTGGATCCTTGTACTTTATAAGCTGACCTCATGCGTAAGTCAAGGTCAGGTTTTAGGGCCAAAATTATGGATTTTGATATGACCTATGGGTAAGTCGATGGTAAAACTTAAGAGGCATGCAACAAATAATCTAAATGATGAAGCAAAGGAAAATGGTGCCAAAGAATTTACAAAATTCTGCCAGGCATAACTGTTTGTGCTCAAACTAAAAGCTGGATGGATGAGAGAGCAGGGGGTGATGGTGGGTGTCAGTGCTTCTGGGACACATTACACTTTTGCCTATCACCAGGGAATGATGGTTCCCTTTTCTGGGAGTTGAAGTACAGTATTTATATTGACCCGTGGATAAGTTGATCCAGGTTTTTGGAGTCAATTTTTTTTGACTAAAATTTCTTGACTTAAACATGTAATACACTGTTAACTGATACAAAATTATATTACCTAGATTTGCTATTCTCTTTGGCTGCCTCTACTATGTCATAATTAGGGATGGGCAACTGAGGGAGGCCAAGAAGCTGCATTCGTTCCCCAAATGATAGTTGCCATGCTTTTGGGTGATGTAGCAAGTTATT